CCCCCCCCCCCCCCCCCCCCGTGTAGCCATCCGCAGATCTAGCGCGGACTTGCAGCTTGTCATCGCAGCATCGCAGCTGGGCCCACGTCAAAAACTCTCTTCCATCTGGACGGCGCGAGAGCCACCATTTCACTGGTCACATTGCAAAGTTCATGTTTTGGAGGAGAGACAAGGCGCGCGGAAACACTGATAGATTCCAGTCGTTCGTCGCCGCGGCCGCCAAAATCTAGAGCCCCGACGCAGACAGGGCGAGGATTCTGACGGCCCCGGTGACTTCGAGCGATCCGCTGCGCTGAGCCCGTCACCCGCCTGCATGCATAAAGACGACTTATGCGCCAACCGCTCGTCAAGTGCTCGTTACGTCAGTTATAGGTTCTGGTAGCGGTCTAAACGGTCCTTTTCAGGGCCCCCATATTTTGCAAACTGAGCTGTGTCTTTAATGCGGCACCCCATGTCTCTGTAAAAAGTTCACAGGAAAGACCTAGCAAAGGTATGTGGTCCCCAACTTGGATATCGGGTGTTATGATTCAAATAAAAATTGTTCTTGCTTATTTCGCGCCTGTGATCAAAATAAATGCCGCAGTTGCAGTCGTCCCGCGGTGCTGTTGCTCGCCCATTCGCCGTCGGCGTGCCTCAGCTTCGTCGTCTTTGCTAGCGGCGCACCGGCGAAGCCGGCCTTTGATCCGAATAAATGCCGCCGTTGCAGTCGTCCCGCGGTGTTGTTGCTTGCTCGATCGCCGTCGGCGTGTCTCAGCTTCGTCGTCTTTGCTAGCGGCGCACCGGCGCAGGCGGTTGATCTGACACACCGCGTTCGGCTTTGGCTAGCAGACGGCGTTCGTAAAATGGCGTCAGCTGTTGCTAGCTTCACGCGGCGGTACCGTGCGTGCTTCTATTCATTCGGCGTTCGTTGCCATGGTGACGGCGAGGAAAGCAGACGAACTTTTTGATGCGGAAGAACGCTGCGGCGCAGCGATATCAGGCGCGTTCTAAGGCCCTTGCGGCATGCTTTTCAATGGGCGGAAGGCGAACAAAAAGAGTTCGAAATAAGGCTGCATTTCTCCAGCCCCTCATAATTTGACGAGCCTTGCCAATTGGCCTTGCACGAAAAGCATGTTTTTAGACCGGAGTTTGGAGATAGTTTTTTTTACAACAACATGGGTCTAAAGTATCAATGTGCTGAACGATTATATTTATATTTTATTGCTTAATATTTCTTCAGTTGCGTGCCTACTCTTTTGTGTTCATTATTGTCGCCTTCGTTTTTACTACCTCTACAATCACGCTTCTTTTTACTCTCTTGGTGTTAACGCTTAGGTTTTTTTGTCTTACTAGTACTATAAACGTCCACTTGTGGGGCTACGCAAGCAAATTTTTCGAACCCGCTCAAAACGCTTTTACGCTGAAGAAAAACGCTCTACTAAAACGCGTTTTTGGACCTCCGCTTTCTATTCCGGCGAAGCGGGCCGCGCATGCGCAGTTTGGCACCCTCAGAGCGGAGCGGAAGATGAAAACGGTCTACTAAAACTCTCTATTATGTAAGTGGCTAATCTTTGCGATAAGTCGGCTAATTAACTCAAATTCACTACTTAACCTTTCAATGAGTGAAAATAGACACATGGTTTCAATTAGAAACATGCTGAGCGTCGTGCAAAACCCCTAATCACTAATTTTAAGAAAGACTTTCAGCGCGGGAGAAGCGTAGAAGTGCACTAAAGTTACCACTCGTAGAGCAGGTACAAGGCTAGTGGTTTCGGTAAGGCGCGCGCAATTTTTTCGTCTTTTATCTAGCTCCAGCCTTGTACCTGCTTTATGAGTGGTAACTTCAGCGCACTACTGCGCTTCACACGCGCTCAGAGGTTTTCTAGAAATTACTGATTTAGGGGTTTTGGACGACGCTCAGCAAGTTCCTAATCGAAACCATATGTCTATTTTCACTAATTAAAAGTTAATTTTTATTAATTATCCGACTTATCGCAAAGATTAGCCACCCACATACTGTCCCTCTTTCCGATCTTATGCACTTTGTCATATTGTCACACATCAAACATACAACCAAATTTCATCTGTCTTTCAATCTTCAAAATGCGCAATTGAGTAATTGGTCCAAATACCTGGCATAACTTCACTTTAAGGATGTTAACAATAGTTAACCAATTATATGAGACTCGTGCAATATAGATAAATCAACTAGTGTCTTGGAGAGTACATATGACTTATTGCTTGCACGACCGAAACGGGCACATATATCATTATCAGGGGCTATATTTGCACGCGAATATGGCGATGTATGGCCGTATTTACGCACTTATACGGCCACATCTGGCAGTATTTGCCCACTTATATAGCAAAATCTGGCCGTATTTGCTCCCACATATAGAGGTATATTGCCATATTTGACTCCTTATATCATCATATATGACTATATATAATATATATCAGAGCCATATCTGACATTTTCGTACGGGATATTAAAGGCTCCAGGCGAGCAGTCATACCGAACTGTCTAAAATTTATTGTCTATAGCGTAAACCAGTGTCACCATACCTCAACGGCAGACCGAGCTGATGCAGTCTAAACACGACACTCTGCTCTTTTATTGCCACTGCTGACAATGAGATAATACACTGGAGCTGTCTATTGGGTTGCCATGGCCCACTTCAGGTCTGCGTATATTTCCTGAGACTGAAGTTTTTGCAGTATGTATGAGATCAGAAATACGCACTATGTAAAATAAATGGTTGCTCACCACACTGCCGAAACTGCTTCAAGTCCACGTGAAAAAAATGATCAATTTGTAAAAACTTAGGAAATGCACGCCGAACGGAAGTAGGCCAGAGCTACCCGATAGATGGCGCCAATTCTCGTCTGAAGCAGTCGCGATCGATTGCAACGGAGCAGGGTCTCAATCACACTTAACTTTGTTCACCAGCCTTCACTAGTGATGTGGCCAAGTTCTCATTATACTTTTTTAAATAGTTTGTGACTAGGCTCCAAGAATATGCCGCGTACCACCCCTTACCCCCCCCCCCCCCCCCCCCTTTCCCAACCCTTTTAAACTATTTGGCCTTGTAGTGCTGGAGTTTTTACGTCCCCTACCTTGGGTCAGTGCGTGCCACAAACCGGACAAGAGTGCCACGTCAGGGTTTTCGGCTGAGATTCGTGTTCACTCAAAGGAAACGAAAAGCGTTCGGTGCATTACTCAATCCGTATTCTACCAAATTGGCTATTGGCAGATCTGCAAAACTTTGAGCGCGACTGGGTTCGGGATTAATTGGGTAGAGACAACCTATTAATAAAAATCTCGTGCGACCCGTTCGAGAGAGGATTCGGGTATATTCTTAGTAATTTTGAAGCTTTGGAGTCGCGATTCTACGGGACGAGGAAATATCGCTGGTGTTTGAGGAGGACCACTGAGTTTTCATGCCCCAGGCCTTGCAAACCTCTTTCGGTACCACAGATCATAGCCTTCTCTATACTAACAAAGCCTGACAGATCGCCACGAGACGCGGCCGCCGAAAGTGAAATGGTAGAGCGTCAGACAACGGATGAGAGGAGAGGCATGTAACGGGCGCCCCGCGGCGGCGAGACACCGAAACACACTTGTTCCGAGTGATGGAATGTCCGCTTGTGCTCCTTGCGCTCCTCGGGCTATCGCTTCTTTTCTTGTCGGGTTTGGAAACCATGTTTCGGGTCCTCGCCGCTGCAAAAGTTCAGCGCTGACTACTGGCTCCCCGAGAAATGCTCTGTGCTACCAGATCCTCGCGCTCCAAATCTGCGACCGGCCACTATATATGGCTCCGTCGTCGAACTGCCAGGCTTTGTGAGTATAGAGGAGGCTATGCACGGATCTACCTGCAAACAAAGCCTACTTTTCTTCAACGCGAGCTCATGCCGCCCACCTTACAGGAATAATAGCATCGCAATAGAGGACGATAGCCGACGCTACCGTCTTCTACCTTTAACTCTACCAGGGGCGTCAAGGACGGCGCGGATGCGCAGTCCTCGACGCAGTATTCGTATTTGTGGAAAAGGTGGATCCACCATAGATTTTTATTGGGTAGAGATTTACATTTAGGCCACTATTAATTTAGTTAGCGTACACTAGGGGCCCTATACTCGTCAAACACAAAGTTGGAGGCGAAAGTTCGCGGAGCGCGCCGATTGGACGCCGGCGACAAAAACGCCAAGTCATCGTCGTGATAGTCCAATCGGTGCGCTCGGTGAACTTCGGCCCCGACTTCGTGTTTGACGAGTATACACTGTGCGACACAGTTCGCGTCAACGAGACATCGGCACTTTTTTGGAATTTCTTTCCTCCAGAAAGTGTTTGGAGGAACGCCGTTTTTCTTTCTCAGTTGGTGCTGCAGATGTGCTAGTTTGAACACGCACGTGGTTTTGGTGACAGTTTTTAAATTTTTTATTTCTGAGTGAAATACAGAAATACCGCAATGGCCTACTCCTGGTGACTGTGTCGAGCTTTGTGCTACTATATTTTCGGCGGCTGAATAACAGACTGCTGTCGAAGAATAGACTGCGCGCTCTTCAAGATACAATTTGTTTTATTGTATTATCGTGCCTGCTTTTTAAGGCCTTGTGGCCGATCAGAAATGAGGAAAATGAAAGGAAATGGCGAGTCCGGCGAGCCGAGTTGGATGATCATACCGTGCGACAACAACTGCAAACTGTATCGCAATCATAACGGCACGCGCCGTTACTCTACGGGTACAATACAGGGTATTGGTGAACGCTGCGAAATTTCTGTCGTGTAATAGAAAACAACATTCGAATGCATGCGGACAATTCATGACGGCTCGCTGGAGCTAATTCGGGGTACTGCATGTCTCGGATGTCTCAGATGAAGATGTTCGATATTTCATGCGCGTACCCAACTCAGTTCTAAGTTTTCCCAATCTATTTTTGAGGCGATAAAATCGTATAAATCCGTCTGTGTCAAAAAAAAAAAAAAAAAAATAGAAAGAACGAAAAGAAGAAAAAAAAGATTAGTTTTGGGTTTTGCAGCTGTCGTCGTAGATCTGGTACTTCTTGGTTCCACAGAGCAGGTCGTAGACGAAGTCACAAACGGTGTTTGGCTGGTGCAACTGAGTCGCTGGTAGCAGGACGCTGCAGGCGGTTTCTGCAAGAACCAGGAACTTTGTTTCAAGCGCACCCCAAAGTAAGTGAATTTCGGTATGCTTGATATGGGAGAGCTCAATCTCGGCTCGTCAACCCCGTCACTTCGCAAGTATGATTGAATGAATTACAATATATGTTTATTGTGAGAGAATACAATGACCGACTATCTAGTAAGCATCTGGTCAAGGGGTTTGGCTAAATGTTAATAGCGGCGGTATAATGTGCGTAGGTGCTAATAAAGTATTTGGACCACCTACACATTGAGCAGATATGAATGTATATATGCACAGGGCCGATTGAGAGAATGAAACGCGATTTTTCACCCGCAGAAATAAACAAAGCATCGCAGGAAGCTGAAATTCCGTGAGAAAGTGACGGCAGCGGTGGTGACAAAATGCAAGAGCTTGAGAACATGACGTTACCTAAAGTAAAAAGTACGACAGAAAAAAAAAAATCTATGAGCCGACATTTGCCTAAGCCTAATATTTAGGAACGGGCGAAGAGCGTTTTGCTATCGGTTTTTCTATCACTAGAAACCTTTAGCAAACCGTTGCCGTGCTCCGCATATTGCACTACCGGAACCTTTGAAGCTTGCTTTTCAGCGCGCCCGGGTGGTACCGTGACCACGGGGCGTGCGCTTAAAAGCATGCTTCAAAGGCTCCGGTATAGTCCGGTAGGCGGAGCACGGCAACGGTTTGCTAAAGGTCCCTAGTGATAGAAACACCGATGACAGAAAGGATCTCTTTTCAGTGTTCATACTGAGAATGACACTGTGCTATCCGATTAGGATCTCTATTCGCCCACCCCCACTAATATTCATCAAGCCAAAAAGTTACATTGAGGGGACCTGTAGCATTAGGTGCAGTGAAATGCACTTTTGAGTTTAAAATACAGCATTGCTTGCTTTCTTCCTAACAAGTTCTCTCTTTTTTTACGAAAAAAAAAGTCATTTTTAGTTTGATGAATCTTAGGCTTAAGTGGTCTTCAGCTTAAAAAGAAATTTTGTTTTTCTCTCGCATACTTTGACCCAGGTAACGTTATGTTCTCAAACTTTCGCATTTTGTCACCACCACAAGTGTTCCGTTCTCGCGGAGTTCAGCTTTCTGCAATGCGGAGTTTATTTTTACGGATCGAAAATTCGCGCTTCGTTTTCTCGATCGATCCCTTTAAACATTGATAGGGCAGTCACATGCTCCAAGAAGAATGACTGATTGGTTCAAATATGCAGCCAGCTTACGGTTGAATTTTCTCTACATCTTCAGATGACCATGACTTTCATTAAAGCAGAGCGATGCACTGAGGAGAGCTATAATTTATCTCTCTTAAATCAGTTTAACCAATGAGGAGGGCGATCGGTCGTGCTGTAATGTTACCACAGTTTCAATGGAAAATATTCGTACAGTTTTGTTCTGTGGGACCGTGTAACTATTGGAGCATAATAACGACTGCCCCTCTTACTGGTTGAACGGAATAAAAAGAGAGCAGGGATGAATGTCAAAAGATCGTCACAGGGTGGTATATGTGCAGGACCTTCTGACAGTGTAAAGGTTTTAAACGCATGATTGGGCGTGCCTGTATTTGAAACTCATACAGCACTCGACGAGCCGATCAGTTCAGGTTCATTCGAACACAATAAGACGACGTTTACAAGATGACCAATTATTCGATCTTTCCTCCGAAAAAAAAAAAATCATAAGAATGTTTTTTTTGGGGGGTGAATTACTTGCCAAATACAAAATAAGACAAAATTTTCTTTCAAAATGACATAACATATTGGAGAAAAGAAATACTTTAAGTACAAAATATATCAATGAGGGCTTCACAGGCAGAAACGTGCGTCTCTACTTTGTTCTAAAGCACTTAGGAGAGTTAATCACTGCAATCTAAGGATTGGCGAAGAACAATGTTAAATATATGTCTAGACTTAAAAAAAAAGTGTCTATGCTGTGCCACTGAACACGACGTAAGCACGTGGAATGTCATGCTCAGTGTCAGAGCGCAGACTGTCTTCTATAGGTCTAAACATATTGATACCCTCGTCATTCGCCATTCGTCTGAAGATCGAAGCGATTGGCCCTCTCGAACACCCTGGGGGAATGCAGACGCACTGGAGTTTTTAGGATGTGCACAGTCAGGACACAGACATGAAGGTAGGAAGCTTCCAGAGGGGGCACGGCGGGCCACCCGAGGATGAGCTGTGGTTCTGGTCATCGTTTGGGGGCGCGTCCCTGCACAACTTTTGGCTTCACCACTGTTGGCGTCATATCGCCTCAGAAGCTTCCTATACCTCCATGGGGCACAGGCACGCGTCTTGAGGCATTGTAGCATGCCAGGATGCCGGTGATATGCTTTTAACTAATGCCTAGAATTTAAAGGTTCGTGCATTTCTTGACTTACTGCTGATGTAAGTGTGCCGGAGAACCTTGCAGACGTTGCAGTCTACGTAGGCGGCGAAAACGTCGACAGAAACTTCTTCAACTGTTGCAGGGAGGGAAGAAATGCAAAGGGTAAATAACGCAGTAGTCGTACTTATAAAAAACCAAAACAAAAAAACAACAGCAACATATCGACTGCATTTTACGGTCTTTGCGATACGCATTTTATATGACTAATGGACGAAAACAATAAAAACAAACGGCACTCGCGAGAACCGTTCTAGTTGTTTTTTTAGAATTTTCAGGGGGTCTGTACCATAGATTTGTGTACGTTGTGTAGGAAATTAGGAAGAGGAGGGGAAAAGGGGGGGGGGGGGGGGGTTGTTTAATGAAATTCGGGGGTGTGCTAGGGAAAGTTTTGGGGAGAGGGGTTGTATACATTACTGGAATGAATATCGTGAGTTACCGGGATCGACTCCCTCTTCTTTTTCTCTATGATAATTTATGGAAACCGCTTATCACTTTTTAGTTGGATGACAGCAAGCTCGGAAACTTTGGCATATGTTCCGGACCACTAGTGGTGCATTTGGGCGGAGACTTCGGCAAAACGTTGTTTACTTTTGCAAAAAAAAAAAAAAAAACAATAATAACAACAACTTTCTAAAGTGGTGTGTCAGACAGCCGGTGCATTGCGGTGCATAATGCAATCAGGAGTGCCGAACATTTCTTGGTGCATACTTACGGTCCTTAAGAGAGACATGGAGCGCGTTTTTGTGGGTGTATCCCTCAGAAGAAACCAGTTTGATGTTGATGACTCTGCAAACAACAATATTTTTTTTTGTGTGTGTGAATTTAACGTGCCGGTCTGGCATAAAACGAAAAACACAATTGACGAAACCCTGAACACAACCAGGACCTGTGGGCGCAGGCTCCTGTGTTAAAGGGACCACGAAATTATTTTTCAACTTCTTCCTCCTTAGTTTTATCCTCAACTCAAATGCGAATTTAGAGATCAGGCGGTTAGCTGCGTGCACCGTGGCTGTGTGCGCGACTGCTGAACGCGTGCTGATGGCGAACTTCACAGTTACTTTGCACCGTGCATTCCACGCCATCAGGTTTGTCAATCTTAAAAACCCATATTGTGAGTTCGTTCTGAACATGCCATCGTCAAATACTTTACTAGGGGGAATACATTCCGCTCTGCTCATTTGCATTAGACAGAACGCCTACAGCGCCGAATCCAGCCCTGACGGAGTGGAGGTCCGCGTCAGTCCACGCGTAAGTGCACGTGGATGTTCGCGGCGGCCGCGGCGGTGTCGTCCGTTGGTGTCGTCTCCGATTGCACCTAAAGCCCCTCCATATTTCAAAAGTAGCGCAAGGTGCGTGGATGCACGAGGCGCGTGCAACGTACAACCCTTGGGAAGATCATGGCGGCACAGCGCAGCAAAGTATTTAGCGCATCACTGAGCTAGAGTTTAGACGCCATGCTATTCGTAAAAGTGGCACGCGGCACGTGTCTCGTGCATTTCCACAACAATGAATTTGGCATGTAGAACAGCCATCACCAATATCATCATTTACCTCCCGATAGCCGCGACCTCCCCGACGATAGATGGCTCTCGCCAAGCCCATGAAGACCTGTCCGCGCCGAGGCTATTGTATTTGAGAGGAGTGGAATGTATTCCCCCTAGTAAAGTATTTGCCATCGTCATTGCTAAACCCCCTTTCCCCTCCCCCATTCCACATGAGGTCCAATAGGCCAGGGTATGCTTCACATAATAGACGTTTCAATCAATGAATCATGCGCTTTAAACAGCTTGCACCCACAGATGTGGCGTCTAGTGAATAGGGGGTATTCTCCGGGCGCCAGATTTAAGGACGCTGTTTAGAGCGCATGCTTGGAACGAGCTCCCATTAATAGGCTCCTGAGGCCGGCGGTTTTGATGGTGTGGAATGCACGTTGAGAAACAAACTGCGGAAGTTCGCCATCACCACGCGCTTAGCAGTCGCGTACACAACTATGGCCGCCCGCGAATCAGTGGCACTACTCTATATATAGACTAGTGCCACTAAATGAGCTAAGCTTCTGAGTAACGACGCTTTGCCATATTGTGGCTTAAAATCATGGTTGCCTGTTATCTGAAATCGCAAAAAACGCTCTTCCGTCTTCCACAAATGTTTAAACAGTTCGCGACAAAGCAAAGCAATATTACATGACCTTCCTAACACCGAATCTAATGCTGAGGAAGTCGCACTTTTGAATCATGACGATCGGCAGTTGCATCTGCTCTGCACAAGCACTAAAAATGGCGGCGCCCACAACAATGTCGGGAATCGGAGTGCCGATACTCTAAGCGCAGTTCATTTAGTGGCTCTACTCTAGAGCTTTCCCACAAGGACGCAACCATCTTAAATGTCGTCAGTTCTGGTATGCGGTAAAACATCTCCACGCCGCTTAAAGGTGTTTACGAAAAATACGTGATTGTCACACATTCAAGTTTTGCCTCACGTATAGTTTCTCGCATTGTCCAGGTTGAAATGCTTTATTATTTTTTCGTTCCACTTACCAGATACGGAGCCCACGTGAGTGAGAACGACAGGAAACAGAAAGCGTCTTAGTTCGACGTGAGCGCGTTGGTGAAGTTAAATAAAAACAGAAAGAATAAACATAGAGACGGAGAGAACAGCACCTGTCCGTCCCTGTGTTTATTATTTCTGTTTTTATATAGAAAACGTCTACAGACGTTTTATGTTTCCTGTCGTTCTCAGCCACTTGGGTTCCACTATGCGGGACAAAAAAAGAATAAGACATTTCAACCTGGAATATGCGAAAACATACAGGAGAGGCAAAACAAGAATGTGTGACAATCGAGCATTTTTTGTAAAACATTTTCCAGCGGCGTGAAAAGATCAAAATGGTGTTCCACCGCATACCAGAAGTGACAGCATTCAAGATGGCTGCGCCCTCGTGGAAAAGGTGTTTTAAGCATGCCATGGAACAAGTGTCATTCGCAAGTGAGGTTAAGTGCCGTCACGGCGCTCATTGTCGCCGAACGCGAATTAAACTATTATTTGACGGATTGAATGTTGACGGACGGATATGTCGGAGTGACGCAGTGCTCGTGTCCAATCCGTCAATTGGATTCGGCTGATGTGCTTGGACACCGCGGATCCATCACAGTGAAATAGCGAAGGACAGCTTCCGCAGGAAAGAGCATGTAAGAAATAATCCGCTATATTTTCCAATTTTTCGTGCCGGAAAACAGGCTTTTGGCTTTCTACCCTCGTGTTCTAGTTTTTTTTTTGGTGCACTATACGATATGCGAACAGTAGAATTCCAATTTATCCCAGCTCAAAATTTCTTTCGTGGTTCCTTTAATCTTTCATTTGCTGAGTGCCCTTCAGTTGGCATCCCTATGTGGTTCCTTGATTTTATAATACCGAAACGCGTCAACGCGACCGTCAGTCGCCACAGATGTGTAATGTGTATGGAGGAACTGCATAAAGTTTCCGCGGGAGGACGTATACAGGTGTCCACGATGACGGGGTCAGGTAAGGACGTCTGTGGAGACTGGTGGCCTTGTCGAACGCGTAATGGAGCGGCTAAAGCGGGAAACGTATGTGCGCAGGAACCGGGTTCCCGCATGCGAGAGGACGGAAATATTTGAAGGACGGGCACCTTTTTCCATTTGGACTGAACTCTATGTTGACCTCCGTCGAGCCATTCACGACGGGTGACTTGCCGGTGATCCTGGCACACTTGGCCGTGTTTCCGAAGAAAGGATCCGTCTCGAACGATCGGTACATCATGTGCCAAGAAGTTTTGAGCGGGAAACACTGCAGAATAAGGCATCACGTGACACACGTGAGCGCTCCCAGCAGTTGTACTCGTGGGGCGCGAGTTCACCTTGAGCGCATATAAGGGCACAAAGTTCTGGGAGGAGCTGGCGCGTCTTATCTAACAAATCGGTTATTTTTGTTTGCTCGAAGCTTTGGAATATGGTATCCAGACACCTCGCAATTAATTTATCTTTATGAAGTCGTATATTTTATGTAAAAATCAGCCAAAAAATGTGACGTCACACCTTCTAAAATGTTTGGGACGACTATATACTCTCTCGCAAAGCCTTTGGGAGAGCTAATAGGGAGTTTTCGTAGACCGCGCTTCCCCATCCTAAGCCGATCTCAACGAAAAAGCCGCTACTGCGCCAGAGCGCCGATGGCTTTGGCTGTAGGGTTTGGGGTACCATAGCGGGTTGCGGAGTGCCGTTGCGGGACGGCGAAAACGGTCTACGAAAACTCCCTAATCGCTGCAATCTATTGAGGGGACTCGGGAAGGAGCATGGCGTTTCACCATGCTGAGTTTCACAGAGCAGGCTTTTTTTTTTTTTTTGTAGGTTCTCCGACCGGTGTGTTTACCGCGTCTGAAAAAAGTAGTCCCCTGATTTCCGCCCGATGACGTCATAGAAGTGTCACGCTGTCGCCGGCCGCGATCCTGGCGGCGTCCCAACAGCTGTGGTGTGTGTGGCAGACGCCCGTTCTGCCGCGGGTCACTCTCCAGCTTGACAGTGCATGGAAGCTTCGGCAGCCGGGAGTAGGGACACGGTGACGACAGCAACGCTCGGGTTCGCTGAAACCCGTTTTGCCGGCACTTCTACGCCTCGCCGCCAGGTTCGAGAAATCCGACAGCATGACACTCCAGCATCTCTGACGCCATTTGGTTACCACTTCAGGGCTACTTTTGAAAGAGACCAGTCGGAGACGCACCGTAGTTCCAAGATGTCTTCAGGCTCGTCACTCGCCGAGCTCCGGTCCTACTGCTTACCGAGCCGTATATTGCGAGAGGTTGGCCAATGGGCGGAGCGATAGCCGCCGTCAGCGCCGAATATTCACCCCCACGGTTAGAGCGCAAACTAAAAGTGCGACGCAGCGTCAACCAATCAGCAGACCGTGACATCACAATATTAGAAACTACATTTGAAGCGAGAAATAGAAGCGTTCAATCTCGGCGTCTGGGTGACAATGGCGTCAATAGCAAATTGTAGCAATGATCGCAACTACGCAGTTTGGTCTGGTTTGGAGCACACGCTTAATTGTTTATTACACCGTTGAATACGGACGTGATGAAAGCCTCACATGCGCCAAGTTTTCAGTCACCGAGAGTTGCACCTTTTTAACTCTAGCAACGTTATAGCGTTGCTGGAGAAAGGACTGTAGTAATTTAAGCCGTTTTATAAAACGGCTTAAATTACTAGTCTGATTTTTAAAGCTCTCGTCCACCGCTAGGAACTGTTTCGCGGCCTGTGGTTGGCCACGAGATGCTCGACTATTCAAACCAATTAATGGCCAAACCCTCACAATACACGGCTCTGACTACTTACACATCAACAGTCTACATAGAGATTCGAAGGTGAGTCACTGCGAGACCTGTCCTTCGAATGCGGTATGGCAGTGAGCTCAAGGAGAAACTTGGCAGACGGCATTCGAACCACGGATATTGCGGCGACTCGTGTCTGCAGACTGCTTTTTCTATGATGTATGAGCAGTGAGAACCGGGCTTTAGATTGCAGCCATTGACTCTCCCAAGTGCCTTGCCGAGGAGTAGTCGTTCCAGAGTTCTTAGAGTGTAAATATACCTCGTCGGAGGCATTAAAAAAAAAATTAAAACTGACTGACGAAACTTGATAACGTGCGATAAACTTCTCAAAAGCAAAGTTTAAACAATAGCATTGAAATATTTATATTAAATAATAAACGTGGGTTCACTAAAAAGTATTGCAGCGGGTCACTAGTGTTTATTAATATATTTATTTATTTATTTATTTATTGTACATACCCTCAAGCGCCGAAGCATTGTAGAGGGGAGGGGCAAAGCAAAATAAAACAAACTGACAAAACAATAAAAAACAAACAACAAGAAATTGAAATATCATTAACACACAGCCATTGGCAAAAGCGGCAAGCAATATATTTTACGGAAAAAAAAATAAACAAAATAAAATGACTCATGTTGGCTCACCAAACAGAAATGTAGACAAAGATTGGCGAAAAAGAGAATAATCAGGTATAGTTGCGATATCTGCTAAAAGGTGGTTCCAGTCGTTTGATGTATGCGGGATAAATGAATAAAAAAAAGTGTTTGTTTGGCAACGTGTTAATCCAACTTTATTCCGATGGTCCAGACGGGAAGAGTAATAGCTAGGCAATGTAAAGAAATGGTCTCGCAGCGACTGATGATGATACACTTTATGAAACAGGCAAAGTCGAAAAAACTTTTTGCGCAATGACAAAGAGGGTAACAATAAACTGGATTTCATTGATGATATGCTAGCTGTTCGATTATAATTAGACAGAATGAAACGAACGGCGTTATTTTGAACTAGTTCGAGAGCTTTATGCAGAAACGTGTGGTTAGGATCCCAAATAGAGGCTGCGTATTCCAATTTTGACCGTACAAGAGTGTTATAAAGAAGAAGTTTTAAGTTAACTGGGGCCGTTCTGAAGTTTCGTCGTAAGTATCCTAACATGCGCTTAGCGTTGGCGATTATTATATCAATATGAGGCTTCCAGGTTTATGTCGACGATATAGTAACACCCAGATAACGGTATGAGTTTACAGATTCAAGTTGAATGTCGGTTAGTGTATATTTTGAAGGGCGTGCGCCTTGCCGGGAAACGCGCATTAGTTTGCATTTGTTAGGGTTTAATTCCATACGCCATTTTTTGCACCAAAGAGTAATATTATTTAAATCAGATTGCAAAATGCGTACGTCATCATCATCATGAACTTCCCGATAAATTACACAGTCATCTGCATATAAATGCATGGAGGAAGAAACACAACTTGGTAAATCATTAATGAATATTAGAAAAAGAAGCGGGCCTAAAACTGAACCTTGGGGTACGCCCGATACAACATCAGTCAGGGATGAATTAACGCCATTTAGAGTTACATATTGTGAGCGGTTGGTTAGAAAGCATTCCAGCCGTTTTTAATGTTTTTAATTTGTGAACGCCCACTGTTTCGTGATCAAACAAAAAAATATTTTGTTAAACAATATGCCACTGGCCTACAGAACACGCGAATAGCGATTCACTGCAATTACGATAAAAAAAACAAAAAAACTTACGGAAAGAGTTCTACAAAGCTATATTTATACCCTCCACCCCCACTACCTAAAAAAAAAAAAAATACTCTGCGATGTAACTGTAAAAACTGCGTTTCACGTGCCGTGATTTTTTAATTTTTTTTTTTAGAACATATATCAGGCCAAAGACTGGCCCAAGCAGGAAGGGGAAAAACAAGTGAAATACAAATAAGCATTTTTGAAACCAAAAATAAAGCACATCGATATACATATTCGAGGCATATATCAACAAAAGCCATACAAGAGAGTGGCGTGCAAAATACTAACATGCAAGATATTTATACAGAAAAAGTAAGCAGATCTAATAAAAATAACTATCAATGGAATCATAAAAATCGGCAGCCTCAAAACCACCGTTGGAAGAGAGTTTCATTCCGAGATGGTGCGGGAAAGAACGAAAATTTGAAACGATTAGTGCGTGCAAAGATTAGTGTTAATGAATATTGATTATGGTGCATCGTAGGTTGTGTCATTAACGGGATGATGTGATCATGTGTGCCAAGCCGTACATTGTTTCGTACCATACGAAATAGAAATTTTAGCCTGGAGAGCTTCCTACGCATCTCAAGTGTCGCTAAGCCTTTCGTTTTCATAAGGTGCGATGGAGAGTCTAATTTTTTTAATTTTCCATAGATGAATCTAACCGCGCGCCTTTGAACCATTTCCAGCTTCGAAATGTTCTTTTTTGTGAAGGGATCCCAGACAAGGCTGGCCTATTCAAGTTTCGATCGCACAAACGTGTTATATGCTAAACATCCGACACTAGATGGTGTTTTCATTAGTTTGCGCCTGAGGAAACCAAGCTTACGAAATGCGGATAAGCAGGTGTTATCAATGCGTGCATCCCATGAGAGAGTCTCAGAAATCGTCAGTACACTCCGAAACTTCGCGCACAGGGGAGCTAAAGAAATCGCTAATGAAATCAAGTGGAAATTTTTTGTTGGTAACCCGTAATAAAACAGTTTTTTTTTCTGGATTCAATTTCATTTGCCATTCGGCACACCAATCTGCAATTTTTGAAAGTGAAGAGTTTAATGCATACTGGTCGGATGAGCTTCTCATATATTTGAACAGAATACAATCATCCGCAAAAGGTCTGATGCTTACACTTTCATCGATGACTGAAACAAATATCATTAATGTATATTAGAAATAACAAGGGCCCAAGAACGCTGTCACGGGGTACACCCGAAGATGCACGCAACCGATCTGAAAATTCCCTACCAATATGAACGAACTGTTTACGCCCTTGTAGGTATAATTTAATCCATTTAACAACATGAATCGGAAGACCCACATTTTCTAATTTAAATACTAATTTTCCACGAGGGACAGTGTCAAAGGGTTTACTGAAATCCAAGACTGGTCATTTTATGTCTAAACAAATTTTTGTCCTTGTCGCTGGTCAGTTCTGCTGATCATAGACATTGGATTTCCGAAGATACTCCGTGGATGCATGGAAATTTATGAGTGAATCAACAAAAACTAGGTAAGGGTGGCGATGTGGGTTAGTTGGTTCATGCTGACGAAAAGGCAGACAGCGCACAGTAAACGGGGACTAAAGGAAGTGCAAACAGGACAAGCGCTGACTCTCAACTGAAATCCTTCCTTCAGTGCCCGTTTACTGTGCGCTGTTTGCCTTTTCGTCAAAAACTAGGTCGTAGGTAAACAATTTCGTAGACAAACACATTTCTGACCACCATTTGCTAGTTTTGTTTTAGGTCAGGTTAAGAAAAATAGGACGATTAAAGCTTAAACAGCGAGAACTCGATCTACCTATAGCGCCTGCACACACTGGATCCCGCTGTCGGAGATGAGAAAAATAGCCACTACCATAGCCTCCTCTATACTCATAAAGCCTGGCGGTTCGATGAAAGAGCCATAGAGTGCCCGGTCGCAGATTTGGAGTGCGAGGATCTGGTAGCACAGAGCATTTCTTATGAGAGCCTGTAGTCAGCGCGCAGCCTTTGCAGTGGCGAGGACCGGAAACATGGTTTTCAAACCCGACGAGAAGCGGTAGCACGAAGAACGCGAGAAACACGAGGGGACATTTCATAGCTTGGGTCAAGTGAAATGAGGCACATTTCCTTGCTTATCTTCATAAACCTGCGGAATACGATCTTAGGCGTACTAATTATACAAAACCAAATGTTAGAACTAACTATGGAACTCAAAAACTAGATTACCAAATTCCTAACGTACTAAATAAACACCCAAGCAACGTACAAATAGCACAGCAGTGTAGAACAATCCATGCGTTCAGGAAAAAAGTCAGAACATATTTCCTTGAAGCTGATCGCCTACCTTAGATTATTGTAAAAAAATGTGACTTTTATGTGTTCTTATTGCAAATATAGTGCCTTTAATATGTCTTTCTTTCATGGTGTTATGAAGTGTTGTGATGTGTTAATATCAGACGTGCGTTGGATGATTTTGTTGATAATGACGATGTTAATGTCAATGAATACAGTTTTCTCTTGTTTTGTTTCATGTTTTTTTTTTTTTAGTTCGTTTCTTTTTTTATCGTTACGCATTCCTTATGTTTATATGGATGATAATGATTGAAAATGTTTACTGATGCCTATGTTTATTTCAATCTTGTTGCTAAATTATTGTATGCTGTTTCTGTTGACTACTATTGGGGGGGGGGGGGGGGGGGGGGGGGGGCTAGCGGCCTCGTCGGTGAGCTTTTTTGCCTTTTTTTTGCTGCAGCCCCCCAGACATATGTATGACAGATGTATGTCTGAAATAAACTATACTACTATTCTACTAAGTGTGTTTCGGCGTCTCGCCGCAGCGGGGTGCCCGTTACATGCCTCTTGTCTGCTGCCCTACCTTTTCATTTTCGGCGGCTTCATCTCTCGGCGATCTGCCAGGCTTTGCCAGTATAAAGGAGGCTATGCCACTTCAGTACAACCGCTAACCGTCACACATGGTGTCTTCTTTTTCTACGATCAAAAATTATTACCAAAAAAGTGGCCGTGTTTTTGCGCATAAAGCGCTTCACTGTCTGGAACGCTGCCACGTTTGCTCGGAGGAAGCATTGAATGAGCGACTTGTTAAGTACTACACGAAATTTGAAAGTCAACATCGCTGTATCCCCTTCTGCCCATCTGTTTGCCACTCTCTTACTTTTTGAAGCTGCCGAATACATTACTACCTTCTACGCGTCCGGGAAAGACGAACCTATTGGCTCTTAATAGATAGGAACCGCTCGACGCGTCGGTAGCCAAAACTGGTTAGAGGATGCTCACTCACTGGCGTTAAGGGTGCATCGCTGCGCAGCACGCACCCAGAGACGTTTGAAACTGCAGAACGAGTACGCAGTCGCACACTTTGAAGCATTGCCTTAAAAAATAAATACAGAACGTACCACAAAAATTTAGCTTACCTTTCCATCATCTTGATACTGTCCCAGTTCGGGTCTCCTGTCATTGAGCGTATTAGACGACGCCAGGGAGGCGATCACCAGCACTACGAGCACTCGCAACATCTTAGACGGAATGGCAAAACAGCGCTCGCCTGGTATGCTCGGCGCTTATTTATTTGCGAGGACGAATTTAACGAGGAAAATAACGCGAGACTGCCACGAGCAAGCTTGAGAGATGACCTTCTCGGTTCGTTCGAAGGCCACCTTGAAAGGGTGCTGCCACTGATGCGCAATCAGCTCTCGCGTTCACCAAGAACGTAAAAAAAAAAAACACACACACACACACACACAAGGACGAGTTTTTTTTTTTTGTTATTTTTTGCTTGCTGACAGTGAGCGCTCGCTTGCTCACTTTTTGTGCTTGTGCACCCTCGGCAGTGAGATCCATTCGCCGTCCGTCGATTCAAGCAACGCATCGGTGTACCTTCGAGTTTTTTTTTCCTAATTTAGCGCGCCTAAAGTCAAAACAAAGTGCAGAAGAAAAACCAACCTGTTTCAATAAAAAAACTTTAAGTCGTCATAAAATGACGACTTAAAAGATTAAAAGCGCGAAACAACAAGGACTCAAATGAAAACCCACACGACACAGACAGCGCCTGTCTGTGTCGTGTTTTCTTCTTCGCCCTTGTTGTTTTGAACTTATCACTTTTTAAATGGTCGATAACAGTTGAGAAAGGAAAGCATTGCCTTGGACTGGGGGTCGGAAACGTTTTGCAGTGGCGGGCCGAGTCGTCATGAAACCGACACAGAGGGGTTAGACGGCAAGTCGATAAGCGTGTGTCTGTGTGTGTGCGTGTGTGCGTGCGTGCGTGCGTGTCTGTGTCTGTGCGTGCGTGCGTTCGTGCGTGCGCGTGTGTGTGTGTCTGTGTGTGTGTGTGTTTAGAGGGGGGAGGTACCAGAAAATGCCAATTGGAAGCGCTCTTTTTTTTTCTTCTAACCCGATTTCAGGTGAAAAATGCCGTGCGGTCCTTAAAGGGGTACTCCGGCGATTTCTTCAGGGTCCCCGATTTGCTTGAAATTTTGCTAAACTCGACAAACATCATCGCCAAAATAGTATCCCAAATATTAGGTCAAAATATTTTTTTTCACGAAGTTATTGAATTTACAATTTTGGTCCTCACCGCGTTTTTCAAACTGAAAGTCTCTACTGGCAACAACGAAAAAGTGACGTCAGTGGAAATGCTGGGGTTCACTCTTTGGACTGTAGAATTTGTTCCCGACTGAACCGAAGCAGTTTCACGGTGTCAATTGAATGCTTTGGAAGCTCGCTCCAGTACCCGCGCTCCAGCACGGAACGAATGATTGCATATTCTATTTTTTAGAATGCTCGCTCGACTGGCAAGCTGGCCCGCCACTGACGTCACGGCACTGAAAAACTGCGGGTATATTTGAATGTTGGTTTTTGCATCATTTTTATTTGCCGATTTCACAATAACTATTATGAATTTCGCGATACTAAATAGCATACCGCAAAGGGTAAAGGCCGGGGAGTCAGAAAATATAGGTAGATGAGGTAGCTCAAAAAATCGCCGGAGTACCTTAAGTCTGGGCGGTGGCGAGGCCGCACGAAAATGCCAAGCGGGCCGCATGCCGACCCCTGCTGTAGGCAGACGGGCCGGAGCACGATACTCCGCTCACCCGCAAAGCAGACAGTGTGGTGGAAGTCACATGCTTGATGAACACCGTTCATACGTCGATGTCTTTCCCCATGATCACGGTCCCGCCAAAACCCCGGTGAAGAGAGCGGGGTCCGGTCATAAAAGGGAGGCGGTTGGTCCGGCGATATCGTATAGCTCCCGCCGCTTTGTCATGTTAAGTCGCAGTGACACTGCTTCGTGTCACATTGATCATAAAAAAAAAGAAAAAGCTGTCCGGAGACATTTTTGAAGCATGTAATAGCAAACATGCTCCGACGATGCATGAGGCATGTTTGCAGGCAATTCTGTCATGTCTGCAACGAACAGTTCTTATTTTGCATCATGTACGAGCAGTGCGTTGAAGGGTGAACGGATTTAAAGGCGCCTTCGGTGCCTAATTATGCTTAATCGATACGTGGTATCCGAGGCAAAAGAGAACACCAATACACCCATAAGCATTTCACGGAAAGTTGAAAAGCCTTCGGAACAAACTTCTTTAAACATAGGCGATTGGGCTTCGACCGCCACTCTTCACGTGCCCAGCGGCGTGTTCTAAACCGTCAATTAAAAAAAAAAAAATTTTTTTTTTCTGCGGGTTTTTTAAGTCCTTTTTAAACACGAATATTAGGCGTCGGTTTCACCTCCAGCCGCCACCGGGCAGGGCAAACACTGGCCGGCGGCGCCCAAGGTATACCAAGGCCCCCCCGCTCAAAAACAAGTTTGTACGCCACTGTTGCCGTGCAGCGACCTTGGCGCGATGCGTGCATCCTCCTTTTATTTGAATAGTTTGATTAGAGAATGGGTAGGCAGTTAATGCGAGTGGATTGTGGGGTTGTATAAATTCCCGAGATTTAGTCCCTGACACCCATAAAGCTGCGGCCTCCTGCATGTAATTAACGATGGGCAGTCGCGATATTAAAGCATTTCCTGCTAAGGAGAGTCGGAAAAATCAATCGCGAAGCGAAGGATACTGTTTTGGTTGGCTACGTCGTGTTATATTTAAGAACGCCGTGTTATATTTAAGATGCCTATCGATGCCAGTATACACTGACAATTTAAGAAACACTACTTCTCGCGCTCTTGCTCCATGTAACGTTATACGTTTCTGAGCATTCTTATTGGTGGATACCGAAATCCAATTGGTCGCGGAGCGGAAATCAGATTCTCGGGAATTGAAGCAGTGTCGATGTACGCTATGGCGCCTGCACGCCTATCTCTCCACACAGCACACGGTGAGAAAACCACTGTGATCTAAAAAACTTGCAACTAAAGAGCGCAAAAACATAAGAAAAAAAGTATATATTGTTGTTCCAAAAGTGGTTAGAGAAAAATAAGCCATCGAGACCTCGTTTTCATTAACCTTGGGCAGATTACATTTCTGAGCCTGACCGTCCTTATCGGGCTTCGTCACCTACTATATACATGCTCTCCGTAAATCGCAGTTGACACAAACGCGCACTTTCCGGGTTGATTGGGCGTGTAGGGATTAGTAAATTGCCATTGGAGCGAGTGACGTTAATGGAATTTATAGTACCAGAGGGCCTAAAGAAATTGCAGAGAACGACGTATCACGTTCACAGTTGTTGCATGATGATTCGTTCCTCGCTGTTCTTAGTAGGTTATGCCGCAATTTTATCAGTTCGAGACTCACCACGCGTGCTTCGTTTCTTTAAACTGTCAGTGCTTGCAAAAACTGTTCTCAAACAAAACAAGTGCATCGAAGCACTTCGTCTCCGAATATTGCGTTAACCCTGGCTTAATTTTGATTATTGCATTGACAAATGACAGAAGTAATGCTATTGTTTTTCTTAGGTGTTGGACATGTTTTTTTGAGAACGAAAATACGATTCGTACACAAAAACCGAATGAACTGAGGTTAGGCTCTTTTATTTTTTTGTCAACGGAGCTGTTAAGGGCTAGTTTCATCAGGATCGTGTCTCTCAGCAAACGAATGATGATACGAAAATCTGGACAGTTACCGTCATTTTTGAGCGACGGCGAGCCTTTCGAGCTTTTCCACTACTTGCCGACTAGCGGCCGGCCATTACTTCATTCCCACCATAGTACAACTTGGCTGGTTTTCCTTCTGCACCAGAGCGGAAAGGCTGAACGTTTTTTGTTTTGCTCTAAAACCAGGAAACTTGATGCGCCTGTCAAATCGAAATTCTACAACGAGAGTGTCAGTGCGTCCAGAACCGGTCAGGAAACAGGTTTTGATCCCGAGAAAGCAATAATTTGCTGCCCAGTAGAGAGTATGTAAAAGGTCAGCTCGCACACGCACATGTGGCAACAACGAATTCCCGCTTTGGCTGCGTCGAATTACAAATTTTTAATTTGCAAGTTTTTTTTTTTTTTTTTGACAAGGTTTGCTGTGTAGTTTTTTGGCACATCTTTTCTTAATATGAAATCGGTGTTTAACGATTTCCGTTTTTAATTAACTCGGTTCAAGGCAGTAAAATTAAGAACAAATAAATAAATAAAAAATTATATAAAAGTTTATAATTTGTCGGCCGATTTGCGGAGCAAGAAATTAATTTCCAACAAATTAAGACGTATCGTTTTCTTAATAACTTGTTATGAATTACCTAGCCGATCAAACATCAATATACAAATAAGCAAAATAAATATAAGCATAAATTAACTACTTACCTACTTACTTAAATAATAATTCATCTCCATAGAAAAGGAAGTAGATACACACAAAAAAAAAAAAAAAAAAAAAAACGGAATGTATCTACTTGACAACGTCTTTGAGTCCAATTTACATAAGCGGTTAGCACGAGATTGGTACGCACGGTTACCCATACGGACCCCCCAGTATGGTCGACGCCCAATTACAACTAGGAGTTCGCATGTTCGTCTCTATAGGAGGCAACATTGTAGCTCTCGCTAATAGGTGCAGTATAGACAGCGATGATGTTGGAAGAAAAATTCACTGTTCGCTTTATTTGATATGGGGCCCCTCGATGGAAGCTCGTTGGTTGAGCATCGGAAAGAAGCTTGTTCTTTAGGTGCTGCAGGTTTCGTCGTGCAGGTGGAACTTTTTGTGGCCGCAGAGAAGCTCGAAGATGAACTCGCAGGCGGGCTCCGTGTTTTCCAGTCGGTGTTCGGGAACGAAAAGGCTGCAGGCGTTTTCTGCAATGTTGCGGAACAACATATTCATATTCGTGATATGGGCGTTTCTATACACAACTGGAACGCCTTTTTTTACACCCCCAGATGTACCTGCAGACAACCAATTGTTGGCCTTTTCTAATTATCTAAACTAGCGGGAGCAGCTATTGGTGTTATGCCGATATGACCGCGCATCCTCAGTGGCCAAAAAGGGTGGATGCCTTTTGTCACTGAAAC